GACAGCCTTGCCTTTTTTTATCAAATATCGATAAAGCAAAGTTGTAGAGCTATATCCCATAGGTGGCGCAAACCCGGTGCATCTTCTAAGGTTTGTTAATGATATGAGGAAGTGGATAGATGAGAAACAGGGTTTTCCACTGCGTACCTAAAACTTTGGGGTACGACATACTTCGCGGTAGCCCACACCGACGAAGGGGTTTTTCTTTGGGAACCCTAACCGGAGCCTTGGACTCAAAACGAAGCACCCGTGTGGGAACTTCTGGAGACCTGTCACGCCGTGGCTTTGAATTTCGTTTGAGTGTTGTTTCGCTGGGGCATTGGTTGATAGTCCGCTTTTCGGGATCAGCCCTTAGCCTCATGCACCCAATGAGACAAGCGGAACGTGGACAGGACAGCACTTTATTGGCCGGGGGCTGCCCAGAGTTGACGGGCAGTAGCTGTCCAATAAAGTGCGAAGACTTCTTCCATCGTGAGGAGGAAGCCCCAGGTATCCCGCTCCTACATCCATCTAGCGGGTTTTTTTACCGGTAAACTACCCCTCTCCATGTTTATTTATTGGAGTGACCTCTCCAGGGGCGGTTGTGCATAGACGAAAGAAGCCAGGAGATGCTCAAGCAGCTGGCATCGTGAGACTGATCTTCGTCTGGCTTCTACCTGTTGACCTTCTAGGCGTGATTGGATCTGCGGCTGTGAGAATCCATCCTGTGTGGCTCGCAAGGTCATGGAGGCACGCAAGCCATCACACCACGTCAAGGCTTGCTTGTCTCAATGGGAGAAATGATCAAGGATATCCAGGGTACCTCGGGAACGGGTGGGTGCACACTGGTGTGGGTCATCAACGTTGAATTGTTAGTGTAGCCCTGTTTAGGCCCTCTGTATCCACAGCAGTGGTTGCGGTGTCTGGGGTTTCGATGTTTCGAGCTTCGCATGAGGGCTTGTCAGGTGTCACGACTGCCTTTGTTATCAAGCCGAGCATGAGTATACAGAGTTGGGCCGGCGAAGTTCACCCTTGGTGGATTTAGAAAGAGTGTGCACCTGATTGTGTTTATGCCTTCTGAAGGTGCAATCCTTTCTGTGATAAACTTGGTTTAGGGGTGAGAAAAAGAATCAATCGGGGTGGCTATAAAATGGATCCAAAGCACATCAAACGTCATAACAAAAGTCTAGGTAATCGGCTCAGTGATCACAGAAAGCGGAAGGCTTAGAATCTGAAAACAAAGGTCGGAGTGATCGATCGTTTCCCGTGACCTCATGATTTTTTTCTGGAGAGCACTGCCCTACTCGAAGCTTGTGATCACGACTTCGTGTGAGTAGACGGCGGTTGTTTCCGTTAAAACGCGTTGGAGAGTGATCAGACATCCCTTACGGAGGAAGGGGCCGGCATTCCACACAAAGCAGATGAGGAAAGTTGACCGAACTCAAATCCACGTATGCATCAAATCTGGTGGAAAAGGTGATAGTGTTTTGAAAATCTAAAGTAGTATCAGAATTATTAAAGTCGCCACAAATAATACAAATTTGGTACCTATATATTCAGTCAATGTGAGTGAACAGGTGTCAAAAGAATCCTTAAGAACATCAGATTAGTAAGAGTGGGCGATGTATATATTCACAAGAATGAGCGATCGAAAAAATCTGGAATGTTCTGGTGTACATTGTAGTAGTTACAAAAATGATAACACCATCACCTCGTCTGGAAAAAGGAACAGGACGATCGACTCGATAACTGGCCAAACCATTCAGGTGCATTATTTCATTATTTGTTCTTTTGTGAAGCTAGCTTTCTTAGAGCATGATCACTACAAGCTGGGAACATTCCCACAGTTCGGCTAATTTGGTGAGATCGACCATATGTCCTAAGAGAGATCGGACGTTACAACTGCGGTTGATAGGGACACAATATAAGGCTAGTTTNTTCCGAATAGTAACTCGGCGCGAAGCCTCCTCGACTTTTTTGAAAGCCTTCTGATCGTCTCTTTAACTTTATTTCTTACTGTTCTCCAAAACTAGTAGTAGCTTTACAGTTGTCCCATTTGGTTGAATGCATAAAATCACGGGTGTAGCAATAGCAATACTTTGATGTGCAACCGATATGGGCTTCACATTTCATTCAATTTAGAAGTAGAAACTTTTCGCGCAAAACTCTGTTTTCTTTTTTTGTTGAACCATTTCCCTGTAGGCTTGGTACGGATAGACACACATGCATGTGTGAACCACGCAGCGTTTCACTCTGTATGGTGGCGTAACTTAACGGGTGAAAATTCAGACAGCCTAATTAAGCGAGCCAATCTTAAATGAACTGCTCTGTGCCACTTGCACCCGCCGATCAGAACACTAAGGAAGAGCGCACGTGTATTAGCCTGGCATATGAACTTTACGTTTACGTCACACCTGTTTTCTCCGAAGTTCGATTCTGCTTTCTGTTTCATCTCTCGTCAGAACCAGCAATGCCTGGTCCTACCTACATACGGCCCGTCAAACCTTCATTTCTACACTGTGTTCATTATTTATCACTTGGGCCGCTTCGTCCCTCTTTCTGTTCGCTCGTTTGCCTGTCCATCTTATCGCTTTTGATATTTGCTCGAATTCCTTTATCACTCACACAGCCTTGTGGTTCGCTTTAAGTTAAAATTAATCTGCACAGACCTGCATCTACCACAGTTCTCGTTTGTTTAGAGAAGTTAGTTGGTTACTTGGGGTCCAATCGCGAGTTAACTTTCTCGTATCCTGGTTCCATTTTTGACAGTTAACCCGTGAACAATAAAGTGCGTTTAACAAATACATACCGTTCTCATTTTGTGTCCCTGGTGTTTGTTCAGCTCATGGAACGGTACTCCCGAAGACTTGGGACCATCAAAATCAAGTTTCCTTTCGTCTAACCCGAAGGCTGAGTTGGGGAAAATGAACGTGTCCGTTGAGACATCATTTACGCATACAAATCACAACGGTGTTTTAATGGATACGGGGCCGCGTTTCAAGTATGATTCAAAGGTAACCTGTCCTCTTGTGTGTATTTACTCATTTTCTACTAGCGATCTGGGCAGTCAATTGGCATAGTTTGTCTGAGGAATGCAAGGGGTTATAGAAAGACAATTCCGTATGCGCAAGCTCCAAAGTAATATCATTTAAAAGGGGCGAAAGGATGTGAAAGAAATCAACGTACGCATGTGTGTATAGGACTTGAGGTCAGAGGAAAATTATATTTGATAAGAATAAAGAAAAGAGGCGGAGGGTTAGAAGGAACGATTTAACTGATTTTTTTTTGAACGTCCATTTCCAATTAGCTGACTTGATTAGGGTCTTCCAAGAAGGTTGAAACTTTTCCACAATCACTTAATGTTTGGAGTAGCAAGCTTAGAATAATCCATTTGATTGTTAAGAGGCACCAGGCACTCTTGGGTTTCATTCCTTGGGAGATCGTTAATTCCCCACAACTGCATGCATTTACATGTGATGTGATAACCGACAAAGAGCACTGGTCAGCTGTTTCGTCTCGTTTGGGACTCGTCAGCCGCGCGTACTTTTTGGCTCCCTATCAAGAGTGCCTGGCACCTCTTAACAACCGAATGGGCTAATCCCAGCTTGCTACCGTGAAATTGTTTGAACCATTATCACAAGGCGATGGCCGTCGACCGCGTACCTCAGAGGTAAGGGTTTGTAGTCCCAACCCGAATGTTCGCGATTCGAGTCTTGACAAGGACAAAAAAGTACGCACACTGCTGACGAGTCCCAAACGGGACGAAACAGCTGTCCAGTGCTTTTTGTCGGTGATCACAAACATTTCCATCACATGTAAATACTTTATGTTTGGTTTATAATACTAGTGTTAATCCCACAACAATTCTCCCAAAGTGCTCAAGTGTAACGTTGCGCATTTTCTACATAAGGGGAGCCTACGAGCTGCTTTTAACACAGAACCGAGTGCAATTTTTGTTGGTGTGTGTGAACGATCCGACTGCTGTGTTACTTCAAACGGGGTATTTGTTTTTCAAGTTTTTATTGGTCCACCAAATCGAAATCGGCATAGTCTGTTTTATTTTCTCGATAGCACACTCTAGGGAAAGACTAGTGTTTTTGTCTTAGTGATCCACTCAGGGAATTCACAGATCTATAGATCACACAATCCATTTCTCTCCGCAGAATACTTCTTTTGAAGCGTCGGGACCAACTGTGATTGACGAACAAGATGAGGACGATCGATCTCGTAAGTCTCACTAATTTTAAGGATAGAAAGCTCTGTTGTCAGGTGACACACTAGGGTTCAAAATTACAATAATTTGGGAAACTTTCAGACATCAACGAAGGTACCGGTTTTCCCGTACTGTAAGTGGTGAACACCACTGTTCACGAGCCTTGAACCACCGGCATAAGGTCAACTATGGGAAAACTTATAGATTGAAACACAACTTGTTTCACCCACCACACTTTGTTTTCGATGTGGTAATGGGCATTTTTCATTCACTGAAACCTATAGTACTGTTTCATGAAAAGGTTTCTCTCAGGCTTAACACTAATGATTGCTCCTGTTTACGATGTTTAACTCCAGCAAGTCGAAATGTTTGGCCCTATGGTTGTAGGACCTCTTCAAGTTTGTAGTGCTTTGTGTTTTTCATATTCGATTTTCAGCGTCTTACTGACATTGTCCTATTTGTTGCTAAAACTGTTAGCATAGTGACCAGGTCCGACGACAGTTAGAGATAGCTATCCTCTAACTCTAACCGCGTCTTATGGCTCAGAAACATCCTACGAATGCCGGTTCATCACTTATGTATAACGATTAGGTTGTGATTGTTTAGAATTGATTTAGACTGACCATTCTTTACATTTCACGCGAAATCCTCAGTTCATACAATCGACCATACTCTCGGAGGCACTAGATTCGAGTTTCGCTCTTATTAGAGCTCATCAGTAGTGGATATCCACCGTCCCATCCTGGCTTTGAAATTCGGACCTGTCTCGTGGAAGGCATTTGTTAACACTCTGCCAACTAGGTTCTACGTGGACTAAATTCATGTTTGTTCATGGCTGTTCTTCAGTGATTGTCACTCGGTTCGTTTTTGACCCCATACGATCAATAAGATGAGTCGCAGCGGTCAATTCGTAACTTGACTCTAAGGCATAAAGAAGCTACCGGCAGTATTAATCATGGTTGGCCGTTCCCAACTTACTGGGTCGGTTCCGACGGATGACGATAGTCGTGGGTCGGAAACTCTGGGCTTTAAACCCAGAACTGAAATCATTGGTGTAAATAGTGTACAAAGCTTTTACGAATTATGGTGGCCTGTTTTGAACCAATGCACCTTCAGTAAGCTTTCGTCGTGAAAACACTCCCTTTTTTGAAGTGTACAAAATGCTTTCACTTCAGGTCAGTCTTTTATATACACACAGCGATGAATCGAGCATCTTTTCGCTGAACATGTATTGATAAGTCGGTTCGATTGGCTGTTTAGTCTGTTTTTTTATATTAATTAGTTCCGGTACCTATCGCTCATCGCTTCCAACGTTTACCAAAAACAAAACAACAAAAATAATCAATTTGCCTTTTTTGATGTACTTGACTTTTTTTGCTTATGGGGAAAGACCATTGAGCCGCGTTCCAAAAACTCTGCGGCTAATCATATTCCCTCTGACTTATTCTTCTCACTCAATTTTTTAACAGCTGTTGATTCCCAGCACGAAATGCTGGAAAACACTGATTCGTTTTCCCTAAATCGCGGCGCCAATGAAGACACGTTCACCACACGGAGCCGACAACGGGCCAATTTCTTGCAGCTATTCCTCCGTCGGGCCCACAACTATCGCCAGCAAAGTCGTACCTCGACCGAAGCTTTGGACAAATCCGGTTCTCGCGTACATCGGTCAAATCAGCTTTCAGGAAGCGTGGCTCACACGGGTGCACCGGCCACCCGATTCGCAGACACATTTTCTAGAAAAGAAGAACTCACTCGACTAGATCCTAGTCTACGAAGGCGAATACCGTCAGGCTTGCGCCAAAGCTCGATGACCGCTTCTCAGAGGTGTGTGTGTGTTTGTGTAATTCCGCTGTCTTGTCCGGAAGTCACTAAACAAACGCGTTCGACTACCTTTGTAGGCAACCTTATGGTGGATTGTGTCGTCTGTTGTTCACCTTTCACTCCCTATGGTGTAATCATGACCTGATCCGGAATGCAGCAAACATTTCCGTTTTGCCTCACTAATTTGAACTGTTCTACTTCCCTGTGCCACCCTGTGGATGAGCGCGCCATTCCACAAGTTTGATCCTCGGAATTATCAATGGTTGTATTGGTCAAAATATACTCTGGACAGATAGTAATAAAACAAGACGGTTAATAATATGAAGCGGTCGAGGATGCAAACCACTACAATTATTTAATGGGCGCAACTATTCGCTTTGCCTGTATCTTCGTCTCATTCCTCGGCGAAAACTGTAGAACAAGGTGGAATACGTTTGATGAACGGTGATGACAATCGTCTAGTTAACTAGCGAGAAAATTTATGAGTTGCTACAGTTAGATCTTATTGAGATCTTTGGATCCGCTTCCGCACAAGTCGCCTAATTTGTAATCGATGACTTGAAAGTTGACCGCTACCCTATGCGTTCTAGTGCTTGTGCATCTCGCCATAATTTTCCTATGTCATTATATCCCTTGTGAATTTGAGCTTTACTGTATGTTATCCATGCCTTCCGACATTTTTATCGGGTTTCAAATGTCCCGTGATGCAACGGAATACAAGGCAGGGACTGTGTGGTCTTGCTCTGAACGCTTCTATCCGTTTACGCGCGTGAATATTCACCCTTTTGCACTGAGTTGCCACATCTTAACACCACAACTCAGTGGGCCAGACTGTACTATGTC